CAAAGAGGGGCCAGCCACAACTTCTTTGGGCAACCTGTTCCAGTGCCTCACCACCCTCATTGTAAAATATTTCTTCCTTATCTCTAATCTAAATCTCCCCTTTTTCAGTTTAAAGCCATTGCCTCTTGTCCTGTCACTACACGTCCTTGTCAAAAGCCCCTCTCCAGCTTTCCTGTAGGCCCCTTTTAAGTACTGGAAGGCTGCAATAAGATCACCCCGGAGCCTTCTCCAGGCTGAACAGCCCCAATTCTCTCAGCCTGTCTCCATAGCAGAGGTGCTCCAGCCCTTGCATCATCTTCGTGGCCCTCCTCTGGACCCACTCCAAAAGCTCCATGTTCTTCTGAAGTTGGGGGCCCCAGAGCTGAAATAGCCTTCAGATTCACCAGGCAACAGCTTGGGTCACAGCTGGGGACTTCAGCAACACGTGTGGGACACCTCCTGAGCACACAGAGCACCTTGAAAACACAACCCATGGATTTCATGAGGCTGAAGTGCTGGTGAGCCCCATGCACCAGTGTATTCTTGCGTGCAGAAGCAAGAGATTAATTTCTCCAGTTGATTATCAACTGAGGTTGATCTACCCAGGCAAAGATTAGTTTGCAAGGTGTTTTATTAGTTCCTAGGGTCCACGACCAGAGCCAGGAGGGAGACCACGGAGCTCACACACAGAAATAAGGCAGTTTCTGGCCTCAGCTGATGCTGTTTTACAGCTGCAAAGCTCCACTGACCTCAGCAAGGCTAGCAAAAGCAAGAGGAAATTCCTCCCTGAGGTGCTTGCTGAGTATGACTTTTCCCAATGTATACTTTTTTCCTGCATCGTGCCAATTTTTTTTTTTATTTTATTTTGTTCCCACATTTACTTTCCCAGGAAAGTCTTGCAGGCTTGTCCGTGGATGCACATTACCCTCATTTCTTTCCAGTTTCTCACGTTATCACAAATAGGATCAAGTACAGAAAACAATTGCATCGTACTCTCCCTGTGTGATTGATGGCACAGATACGTGCAATAAACGGAACAAAAACAAGTAATAATCAGGCTCCTTTTAAACTTTAGAGTATCAGAGAGACCTTTCACACCACCCAGTACAGTCGAGTACCTGGTTGCTAAACTGGACAGAAACAAAGTACCCTGTAATTTAAGAGCCAAAGCAAAACGAACTGCTAGGGCCATGCTCTGCACACACAGCAGCCAGCCTGGGCTAGCACAGGTTTAAGTCACCCTCTCTGCCTACTTTTTTAATAGGTGGACTGTTTTGGGTTTGTTTCCAGTTTGTTTGTTTTCCCCCAAAATGATAAAGATGTAGAAGTGACAGACAGTTAACACTTTACTGGATGAGGTCTCCTTAAAAAAACACCATATATATATGTAAATAAATTAAAAAATAAGTCTCCAAAGTCACTTTTCTTCCATAACTGGATTCTAGAATAATCCTGAGACTAGTGATAATCAGAGATGTCTCTTCCCTCAGGAGGTCTGTCCGCCTCTGTCCCTCACCCTGACGCCCAACCTCTCCAGACTTCATCCCAAGGTCCGCTCCAGCCAACCCACTGCTCACGGAAGAACGGGAGCAGCGGCAGCGGCGAGGGGAAGCACAGGCGACCCGAACTAGCTGAGCAGTCGAGGAACCCTGTAAGACGTTGGGCTGAAGCCATCAGAAAGACACCTGAACACCCCCCTGGGCTATCATCTCCATTTTGGCCATCAGGCAGCGACGGCTGCAAGAGGACAGATGTTTCCTACGTGGGAGCATCGGGCTCCCGAGCAGCACACGGCTGAGTTATCCCTGACCACAAACACCGTACCGCAGCGCAGGACACCACTGTCACCTCCTTCTCGTGTGCCTGACCTCCAGCACCACACCAAGAGCCATTATTCAGCACATTACTGGAAAAAGCACAGAGCTCTCAGTGCTGCCAGAGATAACGGTTCATCAGCGCTTCCCCTCCCCACAACATCCGCTCCACGGAAAGTCCACGAGCCCCCTGCCCCTATTCATTCCCAGCTGGAAGTCTGAAGAGCAGCCAGAGAGGCAAGTTAGTTTCCCAGTGCTGTAAACTATGTGCCAGACCAGCCGGGACGGATTTCACGTGTGGAGAGGAAAGGGTGAGAGTTATTTCAAAATCCTTATTGCATTCTTGCGCTTCTGTATCAAGAAGGAAGTTTAGCAAGGGAGACCTCCTCAGCACTGTTGCCTGATTACCTTACTCCAAAAACCCCAAATAAATAAAATACATCTCTCAGCTTCTCAGCCATCTACATCAGAAGCACCATCCCACCTGACCACACCACAAACAGACCTTGCTCCATGCCCACTAGCCCAGGGAAATCAGGGACCCACCTGGCACGGGGACAGCAGAGCCTCCCCAGGCAGCTGCCCCATGACCTGCACCCCCAAGGATGAGCAGTCCCTCCAGCTCAGCTCGTTAACGAGCTGTGTCACCCCTGCAGGACATGCCATGGCATTCCGCGCTTGTTACGCAGCCCAAACCATCCTGACCGTGCTCTCAAGCCTTTTTGATTTGAGGAGCAGATCCGAGGGAGAGCAGACTTCAGCGCTAATGCTGACGTTAAGGAGGTCACCACCCAAACGAGACTTTCTGGAGAAGAGGCACTGGCAGGTCTCAGCTTGGCAGCTCTGAGAGAGGCAGATGTAGCGCTGCATCCTGCCTCCCAAAGGGGCAGTAGGATGCTCTGGGAAACACCGTAAGAAACAAGGTACACACAGAGCATCCCTCCCCCGGCTATGGTCCCCCAGCTTCTGGCAGGACAGACAGTCCTCCGTGACTTGTTCAAAAGGCTCTCAACAGAGAAACAGTCCTTGACCAACCATTAAGAGGCCCAATGTGCCCTACTGTAACAGCTCAGTCTTCCCCACACAGATGTGTGTACACACACACACCTCATCAGGAGACCCACCACCTTTCAAGGACTATAGCAGCTCTAGAAGGGACAGTCACTACAGTCCCAGTGTTAAGACTTAACTAGGGTTCCATGCACAAAGTGGGAAACTTTAATAATCCTGGGAAGGATCACAACAGGACTCTTGAGTGTCCAAAACCCAAAGGCATTAACCTACAGTCCTGCATGGAGCTGGGCCTGCAGGTCAGATGCCACCTCTTACCTGTTCTCCAGCAGCGTCATGCAGATGACCTCCCGCACGCCCGGGTTGTTGGCTTTCTCGATGGAGCAGCTTTGCAGGTTCCAGGTAGCCACCCTGAGGACTGGTCTGCCGTCTCTCACCCCTCCAAACATCTCCACGGAGGGGCGAGTGGCTATGATCTGGGTTGGACCCCCAGGAGGAAAGTCCAAGTCCTCGCTCTGGAGGCTCAGAGACGTGGGGCTGGGGTGAGGCTTGGCGGTGAAGTTGAGGCCACCGTTGGTGTTCGTCGAAGGGGGCCGGGACCGCTCCGCAAAAATCTGATGCCTGATTTTGTCCAGAAAAGAAGAATTGATGCAGTCCATCCTCACCAGGTCCTCGATACTTTTGAAGGGCCCGTGCTCTTTCCGGTAGTCCACGATGCTGTTGGCGATCTTCTCGGTGACGCCGCGGATGCTCATGAGCTGGGCCGGGGTGGCGGTGTTGATGTTGATCTTGGTGGCGGAGAGGTGGTGCTCGGAGGCCGGGTCCTTGCGCAGGGAGCTGGGCGAGTGCTGCGCCGAGCTGCCCTTGCTGCTCACGCAGATCTCGAACTTCACCTGCTCCAGCTTGGCCGCCCCCACCCCGCT